ATGTCATTTATTTTCTTTCTAATGTTTCTTATTTCCTTCCTGCTACTTTGGGCTTTTCTTGTTGCTGTCTTTCTAGTTCTTTTAGTTGTAGAGTTACATAGTTTATTCAAAGTTTTTCTTGTTTTTTGAGGCCTATAATGCTATGAATGTCCCTCTCGGGACTGCTTTCACTGTGTTCCATTGATTTTGGGTTGTTGTGTGTTCATTTTCATTTGTCTCCAGGAAGTTTTTTATTTCTTCCTTGATCTCTTTGGTAATCTATTCATTGTTTAGTAACATGCTATTTAGCCTCCATGTGTTTGGATGTGTTTGAGTGTTTTTACTGTAGTTGATCTCTAATTTCATGCCCTCGGCTGGGCAGAGATCCTTGTATGCAGTCCAATGGGATCAGCTGGGCAGCTGGAGTTTCTGTCAGCTCTCCCATGTGGGGAAAGCCCCAGTCAGGTTCCTGGGATAGTGGGACGGATGGCTCCATCCCCATTCCAGTCACTGACACTTCCTGAAACTGTTCAAACCCATAGGCTTTGGCTCTGCTGCTGTCTCCTCTGATGAGGTCAAATGCAGGGTGTGGCAGGCAGGGCTCCTGAGGGTGGGGCAGGCTGTATCACCCAGGGCGGGTTTTTTTTCCTTTTATCTGAGCTGTGGCTTCTGGGAGTGGTGACCTCCTCTCAGAAAAAATGGCCATTTTGGTTTGGGAGGATACCATCAAATGCAGGACTCCTGACTGTTGCTTTTCCATGTCTCCCTGCAATGCTTCCCATCCAGCCTCTCCTTAGGCACCTCAAGTCTGCATCGCCCTCCCTGCACCAAAGCCTCAGGTGAGTAGCTGCAAATTAAACTCCTGCGCCCTGGGTCACACACACACACACACACACACACACACACACGCTCACACGCTCACACTCTCACACACAAACTGAGGCTTTCTCTCTGACCAGCTCCAGTCTATTGGTGCCAGACTCCCTAGTGGCCAGCTACCACCTTTGGCAGCTGGATGTTACCTGGTCTGCGGGCCTTGGGTCTGGTTCCGGACCTCAGCCTGGGTTCCAGACCTCGACCTTCTAAGGGAACAGTCCCTCCTGTAGCTGAGAGATCCCTCTTCAATCTCCACCTGCCACCCCTGGAAGCTGGGTCAGCTCCTCTCGAGACCTCGCCCTGCCTATCTATCGGTCTCCAGGTATTTTCTGTCCTTCCTCGCTATGTCTCCAGCTCAGCTGGGCCTCAGTTGATACTTCTGGGTGTATGTTCCCCACTTCAGTTTTATTTCCAGTCTAGGTCTGGGAGAGGGTGCAAGAAAGATCTGCCTAATTGGCTGCCATTTTCTCCCATCCTCTATTTGTACATTTTAAAAAAATGCCTTGAGCATGTGTTGTGAAACTAAAAACAAACAGACCATGTACTTATTTTTGAAAGGTCTGCTTGTGGGAACATCTCATTTTAATGACCTCTCCCCTGAAGTGGGGCTGGTGTGGACAGAACTGTCCATGCAGGAATACTTGAAGGACTCCAAGTGGAGTCCCAGGCTGGCCCCAGTGCTCCAAACCTTAGCAGCCGTACTATTTTGTAGACATCTCCTTAATAGGTTAAGGCATTTTGTTAACCTGCAGTGGTTGGGTTTACTATCTGATTATCTCCTGTTAACCTAAAATAAAAAGCCAAAATCAGAGGCAATAAGTACTTACCTGATAAAAATAAATTGCAGTTCTGGAAACACCGATTCAGACCGAAACCCAAATGGTGTCCTGAATACAGGGTGAAGGCAAGGAGTTTATGAGAACAGGAAGGGAAATGATGACACGAGTAGAAGAAATTTCTATTGGTGCTAACAAGTTGAATTATTTTGTAGCTAAACATGGCTGATGACTGACTCTGTCTTCAGAAAGAATCTATAATCATCAGTCCTTGTGGTCAGAATATCTGCTTTCCTGTTAGCTTTGCAAACAGCCGTTTAAAGACAGTGTTGCTTTGGTCCAGGCCAAAGGTTTTTTGCCCAGTTCAAACATTCCAAAGGTTCAAGGAATTCCTCTGGAATGGCTGCTCTGGTTCCATTTAAAAATGGCTCCACTTATGTCATTCTTCACACTCCCATCTACTATCACTGGCGAAACCCCAGACTCCCCTGGGGTGGGTCATGGAGTGTGTCTAGCAGGCTGACTTCAGGAAGCAGCACAGTGGAGGCATTTGGGTTTTCTGAAGGAGCTTGAAGACATTTGCAAGGTCTTGGGGGGAGATGTGAGGAAGGAATGATGGTTGGATAAAGAGCCGAGCAGGACCTACAGGTCACTTTACTGGTGAGCCAGGTAAATTCTATATTGAAAGGAGACAGGAAAACCTCGAGGAAGGAGAGACTTCAGATAGATGAGCCAGAAAAATGACACTGATTCTGCCTCTGTTCCAGATGTTTCCATCGTTGCTGAAGAAAGGGCAGGAGAGGATCAAGCGGGAGACCTGGTGTCATATTTACGCAGACTGAGTCTCTCAGGGTGGGTGCAAGCTAGTGGGTTTCATTAGGGTTTCTTTCTTATTTCTTGGAAAATATAATTGTTCAAGCATTGAATCCAGCCTTTTGGATAATCTGAAGGGATGCACAACCAAAGTTTAAGTCTTAAACTTATAAGTTTACTTTCTGAAATAACTAAGGTGTTTGCTAGAGTTTTCCCATCTTCCCCTCCCACCCCTAAGTGCAGAATTATTCAAGAATAGCATAAGGCCCTGCAGAGTTTGGTTAATAGAATTTACAGCAGGCAAGTCAGACAAAGACCAAATTTCATGGAAAAACTTCTGAAGCAAAGTTGTTGGAAATTTAAATTAGATTTGAGTGTGACAGATCGACTACTGAGCAATGCTATATAGTGCCTCACTGTTAAATCCTACAGGAATTGGTCTAGAATTTATAGTGTTTTTTTCTGTTGCAGTGGGGTACTGATTTTGTGTTTCGAGTCCAAGTATATACATCTTCCAGATGTAATCATTTTACCCAAGTAAATGAAAATATGGCTGTATCAAGGACTCAAAGCTATTACACTGAGAACATGTCTAGCAGCAGTTTGGTGTTCTGTCAAGAATATTCTAGCAGCTGTATTCTAGGAGTCTTTGGAGAAACTCCTGCTTCAGAAAAGGATAGTTTTAAGAATCAAGGAGAAAGCACTAAGATTAAAATATTGGGAGATTGCCCTAGCCGGTTTGGCTCAGTGGATAGGGAAGGGTCCCGGGTTCCATTCTGGTCAAGGGCATGTACCTCAGTTGCAGGCTTGATCCCTGGCCCTGCTTGGGGCCCATGTGGGAGGCAATCAATCGATGTGTCTCTCTCACATCGATGTTTCTGTCTCTCCCCCTTCCTTCCACTCATTCTAAAAATAAAAAAAATCAGTAGAAAAATATCCTCAGGTGAGGATTAGCAAAAAAAAAAAAAATAATCATAACAAAATATTAGGAGATTTAGATGTGTATTTATAAATACAAATACAGTATATACATATTTCATAAAGTGAGCTGGATATGCAAATATTTTGAGGATTAGCAAAAAAATAATCATAACAAAATATTAGGAGA